TGTGAGGCCCTGAGTTCAAACCCCAGTGTTGCTAAAAAAAAAAAAAAAAAAAAAAAAAAAAAAGACATGTTCCTTTCCTAAAAATTGTTTTCTATTACCTTTCTGTTTTACAGATGTTAACCGTTTGTCTTCATATATTGCAAGTATTTCCCTCATGGCTCATAGATTTTTTTAAGTGTCATTTATGGTATGTTTTACTTTATCGAAGTATTACATTTTCATGTTGTTAATTATCAGTTTCTTGTCTTATCTAGAAAGATCTATGTTACAGAATTATGATAAATATTTCATCAAATTTTCTTGTGCTTTTGTGTTTTTTCTTTGTGTGTGTGTGCGTGTGTGTGTGTGTGTGTGTGTGTGTGTGTGTGTGTGTGTGTATGTATCCTTGTTTTTGAGACAGGGTCTCACATGTAGCTCCACCTGTTCTGGAATTCACTACATAGCCCAGGTTGGGCTTGAATTTGAGATCCTCCTTCCTCAGTCTCCTGACTGTTGAGATTACAGCTGTGTGCCACCTTGCCAAGGCTTTGTGGTATTTTCATATTTTCCATTTTAATACAAATCTTTTCCCTGTGGATAGACAATTACAGTAGAGCAGTCAACACCTGAGTAGTTCATCATTTACTTTGTTTACACAGCTTTAGGTTCAGGTGTAGTTTAAAGTCACAAGGTTTGCTTTAGTTTCTCCTAAAAGGCAAGAGCCTATGGAGGATAAATTCCTTTGCTTTTTTTGCTTTTTTATTTTTTTAACTTGGGAATTAGGATGAGATCTCTCCCGTATCAGAAAGTAGGGAGAGGGAAGCCAGGAAAGAGACATAGAGACTGTGTGCAGGTCATTTTTGGTACTAGGGGTAAAACAGAGTCTTGTGTAGAGAGATTTGCCTCAACAGCAAAGGAGGACTATATTATTTTACTAGCAGCAGATCTGGTTGACATACATCTATTTTAGCGTTTGCTGCTCTGAGTTCTGGTTGAGGAAACTTTTGGCGTTCTATGAATTTTAGTTCCATTTTTTTCACTGCTCTTTAATTTTGTTAATTAGATCTGCCAGATGGATGTTTTATGTGCTTTTTCCTGCATCTTTGAAAACTTTGACTGTCTTTCTCTTCTGACCTTGATGACTTCTTACTTACTTCACTAACTTAATTACTACCTCTTTTTTTTTTAAATGTCTCCTAGACCCTGGGTACTATCTTTCCAATGCTCTGGTTTATCTTTGGAATTACCACCTCCTAAAACCTATCTTTCCATATTACCTTTGCCTAAGGAGCCCTTGTGACACCTTTATTGCAGGAGTTGCCACATTGTAATTTATTGTATTTGCTGTATGTATCTATTTCTTCTATCAGATTGTAAGCTCCTTTGGAGACAGATTTTGCCTGTCATTGAAAACTGCAAACTACATCATTTTGGTATAACTTGAAGATTCAAGTCCCAGAAACTCTACTATATGTTCTGATGATACAAAAATAGAGTATATCTAAAAAAAAAGTATCAATGTTTTTGGTTGATATGCATTTACTGTTGTTATATCTTTTATCAATATTTGTTACCAAAGTTATGGTGAGTCATATTGTAAATAAATTTTATATCAATTACAATAGAATATTCCCTTACATACATATAAAAAATTAAGTATAATTTGTATCACACTTGGGATTTTACTATTTTTTTTGTGGTACTCGGTTTGCACTCTGGGCCTCATGCTTGTTAGGTAGGTGCTTTACCATTTGAGGCACTCTAACAACCTAACACTTGAGCATTTTCTGTTGGAGACAAGCTTATGAAATTATAATAAGTCAATGGGAAAAATAACAGAATATGGAAGAAGTACATTTATATGAATAAAATCAACTTATCCTGACAGGTCATTTTAATTCAAAATATTTGCACTTAGAAAGCCATGAGAAAAATTTATAGAATAGTATCAGTAGTTTTGATGGTAACGTTTTAATGAATAATTGTTCATCATGATAATAATGCATTATTAATAGTATTTTATCTATTCAATCCATACAATCATCCAGTAATAAAAAACTATTAACCCTACTTTACTGCATGAAAAGTGAGATTTAAATACTTTCTCACGGTCACATAGATATTAGTAAGGGACAGAGATCTTAAATGTCTTTTTTTGTTGTTGGGTGATGCTGGGATTTGAACTCAGAGCCTCATTCTTGCTAGGCAGACACTCTTCCACTTGAGCGCTCTTGCCAGCCCTCAGAGATCTTCAAAATAGGCTCTTAACCATCATATGGAAATTGCTGTCTTCAAGCAGCAAAGTCTATACTGTGATATCCATTACGATTAATTTTATTTACTTCTAAGTAGGCTCCCATATTCTAGCTCTCAAAATAATGGAAGCCTATTCCAAAATATCTTCAGTAATGACATACTTAGGTTTCTTGAAAATGTGCACTTATGTAATGTATGTATTTCTCACTTTTTGTATGGTTAACTTTTCTAAAATGTTACATAGGATTTATATATATATATGTATTTTTCTTTGCAGTGCTGGGGATTGAATCCAGGACCTTATGCATGCTAGGCAAGTGCTTTACCACTGAGCAACACCTGTAACCCTGTATCTCAGTTCTTATTTTTATTTTTTTGGTGATACTGGGGTTTGAACTTAGGACTTTGAGTTTGCAAAGCAGGCATTCTACCACTTGAGCCACACCTCCAGTCCATTCTATTCTGGCTATTTTGGAGATGGGGTCTCTTGAACCATTTGTCTGGGCTGTCTTTGAACCTTGATCTTCCCTATCTCAGCCTTCCAAGTAGCTAGGATTACAGGCTTGAGCCGCCTTGCCTGACTCCTGTATTTCAATTTTTATAGAGCAGCTTGTTTTATGAATTTGTAGATACTTTATCCAAATTTTGGTATAATTATAGTGTTATTACTGTATCACTGAGCTCTGTTTTGTAGTTAATGCTAATGAGATTTATGATTAAATAGAGAACAGCTATTTAAAATTTCAATCATTTTGTGAAGGAAAACATTACAATTATAATTATTTTCTATATCCTTTTCAGCATTTGGATTTTAATTAAAAAGCTTTATCAAACTAGGATCTTGACATCAGTTACACTAAAACTTCAGTTTTTTAAAAAATGTTTTATTGGATACATATTAATTTTATGAAACAGAAAGTCAAAATGGATGGAATATAAGTTTTATACCATGTTGCTTTTTAGTTGCACTTCCTTAAAAGAAAATGTGCACTATTAAACATTTTCAATATAAAAATTTCATATATGCACTGTGCTCCTAATATTTTTTGCATCATAACATAAATATGCAGCACTACTGGATTATGAAAATTACACATTTAGTCTTATAAGTACTGTTTCAGTGTTATGCAAATTTCCTGAGTTTACCAGTCTGATGTTTTCTCATTTTTAACAAATTGTTATTCTGTTTTTTTTTGGAGATTGGGTCTTGCTGTGTAGCTCAGGCTGGTCTTGAACTTACGATCCTCCTGCCTCAGCCTGTGTCACCATGTCCAACTGGCTTTTGCTTTTTGATATTAAATAAGTTGTGCTGTATGTTGCACTTGAGTGTCTCTTGTCATGCTAAGCAAGAGCCAAAATTGATTATAGCCTTAGGTCACCACATTTTCTGTAATAACTTTCTGATTGAAGAGGACAAGTTATAAAATGCTTCCTTGCATGGTTCGTAGTGAATTAAGTAAAATGCAGGTTTTCTTAAGCCTCTTTTGACTTTTATCTTTTTGTACCAGTCCTAAAAGTAATAATTACTAGTTTTGTTGCTGTTGTTAGTTTGGCTTGTAAGATTCCTAGAATGGTTTAATTATAAATCCTACTGTCAGGCGTAGTGGTCCTAGAATTGGTTTCTTAGATCCTTTTTTTTTTTTTCTCACTTATGCCTTACTAGGTATTTATGTGTTTTTTTTAATGAAAGAATTTCTTAATCATAATGTTCATGATTAAGTCATTGTACCAAATTATTGGTTCTATTAAGAGTTTTAGGCTGGGTGCAGTGGCTCACAGCTATAATCCCAGTTGCTTGAGAGGCAGAGATTGAGAGGATCGCTGTTCGAGGCCAGCCCAGGCAAAACACTTAACAAGACCCCCCACCTCAACCAATAGTATGTGCCTGCATTCCCAGCTATGTGGTTGGCATAAATAAGAAGAGGATTGAGGTCCTTGCTGGCCTGGGCAAAAACAGGAGACCCTATTTGAAAAATAATACAAAAAGGATTGGGAGTGTGACTCAAGTAGTGGAGACTAGCAAGCGTGAGACCCTGAGTTTAGTACCAGTATTACCAAAAGAAGAAAAGTTTTAGAAATTTAAAAGAATACCATTTTCCACAGTAAGCCACGTCACAGAAAATTTGTAGATGAAGTTCCTAAACTTGGCTATTTCCATTCAGTTCATGCATTTTTCATACATTGTGATTTAGTTGAAGCAGGGAGTCATCTTCTTGCATGTTTTATGCAAACATTTTAAAATATTTTTTGGCATTGATCAATAGGAGATGAAAGAAAAACCAAGCCCGGTGCTGTTGTCTCACGCCTGTAATCCTAGCTACTCAGGAGGCAAAGATCAGGAGGATCGAGGTTCAAAGCCAGCCCAGGCAAACGGTTTGTGAGATCCTATCAAAAATAGCCAGCACAAAGAAAAGGGCTGGTGGAGTGGCTCAAGTGGTAGAGTGCCTGCCTAGCTCCTTTGAGGCCCTAAGTCAAACCCCAGTACCAAAAAAAAAAAAAAAAAAGAAAAGAAAAGAAAAGCAGAAAAGCAGTTTAATGTGTCTGTAAATAAAATGAAGGAAAAATATGAGATAAAATAATTAGATAGAGTACTAGGAAAATATGCTGTAGCTGTAGTAATACCTTGTATTTACAGTATATTTTAGAAAGCCACACCATAAATCTTAAAATCTTTACCTCACAGTAACCTTGTGAATTAAGTAGAATAGGTTTCTTCTTATCCTCCTCTTCCTCTTGTCTTCTTTCTTTCTTCTTTCTTCTTACAGGGTCTCACTATGTTGCCCAGACTGGTCTCAAACTTCAGGGTTCAAGTGATTCTTCTACCTCAGCTTCCTGCGTAGCTGGGACTACAGGTGTGTATCACCATGCCCAGCAATAAGATAGATTTCTTACCTTGAGTTTACAGAAACAATAGAAAATTTAGTGAGTTTAGGTAGAGTTATTAAGACCTTGAAGGTTAGGGAAGGATTTCCTAAATAAGACATTAAAAAAGCATAAATCATAAGAGAAAAGACAGAAAACTATAATACATAAAATAAAGAAAAAAGAACAGAAGTAGGTCACAATGATCCATAACATAAGAGAAGATATTTAGCAATATTTCCTAGTAATCTGGGGATTCAAATTAAAATAATAGTGGAGAACATACCCCCAGAACAGTATTGGGATACCATTAGGTAAACATCACAGTGTAAAAAAGTGAAACACAGGATCACAGTCCATATTTTCAAGCTTGAGGAGCAGTGGTAATTGTCATGCTGACAGGAGGAGGCTATTTGGTACACTCATTCCAAGAGCCATTTGGCAGCATGTTCTCTGGAGTGAAGAGCAACCTGAATGTTCCAGTCTAGGAGGGGTTAAAAATTTGCTACAGTGTTTTCATGAACTTCTGCATCAGTTAGAGGTAATGCACTAGATCTATGTAAGTTAAAATCTTAAGAAAGTGAAGAAGTAAGTTGTGAAAATGCTAAATTTCTTATAATGGTGCATATGTGAGTACTAAACCAAATATGTCAGTACTACATATTTCCTCATGAATACAACTGTATATCTGTAAATGTATTTTAGAGGAATATATTCTAAATTTATATAGGAGTAGTCTCTGGAAAAGAAAAAAGGAACTTAATTGAAATGTAACACTACTTTTTTTTTTAAAAAGAAAAGATAAATAAGATTGATAACTATAATAATGAAGACTCAAAGCAAATGTGGAAAATTTTAACATTTCACTTCATTTTAACATTTCAGTACATGGGCATCTGTTAAATTATTTTTTTCTGTTTTTTTTTGGTACTGGGGTTTGAACTCAAGGCCTTGCACTTGCTAGGGAGACACTCTACCACTTGAGCCATGACCAGCCCTTTTTGCTTTAGGTATTTTTTGAATAGGGCCTTGGAATTTATGACCTTGCCTGTGTGGATCATGTTTTTTTATGTATACTTCCCGCAGAACTGGGATGACAGACAGGCACCACCACACTCAGCTTTTTTGTTGATTGAGGCTGGTGGGGGTCTTATGAACTTGAGCTGTGATCCTCCAGATTGCCACTTCCTGAGTAGCTAGGATTACAGCCCTGAGCCACCCACCACCCGGCTTTTTTTTGAGACAGGGTCTCCTTAATGTAGCTCAGGCTGACCTTGAATTTGTAATCCTTCTGTCTCAACCTCCTGAGTGCCGTGATTACAGATGTGTACCACCATATGGGTGGCTGCTAATTTTTCTACTTTCAAAATTTCCTTTTTTTTTTTTTTTTTTTTTTTAAAAAAAAGCAAGTTTAATTTGCTTAAGGTTAATTACCAACTACCAGACATAGCTGGAAGAGCTAGTGCTTATTCTTAGGATTTCATTCCCAAGTCTAGAACTTACAACATTCTGCTTCAAAATTGGCAGAAAAAAAAAAGATGGAGGCATAAAAAGGTAGAGAAAACTTATTTTTATAGTAGTAAAAATTGAGCTGGTGGAGTGGCTCAACTGGTAGAGTGCCTGCCTAGCAAGCATGAGGCCCAGAGTTCAAAACCCCAGTACCATTAAAAAAAAAAAGACCTAATCTGTTTATGGTAAAATTTCTTGAAAGAACAGAAACATTTATGATAAATTATTAGTTATTATAATCTTTTAAAAAACCTTTAAGTATACTGTTATGTATATATAGAGAGCAACACAGATACTTGAGAGAAGAGATACCCTAAGAAAAAAGGTACCTTTAGTTGTTTAAAATGTCATACATACTTCTGTTGCATAAAGCAGAAGACATTATATGACTCGATTTTTTGAAATATAAAATTCATGAAAATAATTCATATATACAATCTAACTTCAGTCTAAAACATCAAAACGACTTTTTCTTCCATTTTGTAAAATTATTCTTGACAAAAACTTTACAGCCTTTTTATTTACAGCTTCTCTCCAAGATAAAATGGCAAACCCTAAAGAGAAAACTCCAGTGTGTCTGGTAAATGAGTTAGCCCGCTTCAATAGCATCCAACCCCAGTATAAACTTCTGAATGAAAGCGGGCCTGCTCATTCGAAGGTAAGGTTATGGTGAGAGGCGGTGAGACATTCTTATCAAACTATCAGACTTGTCAGGTGTTAATTGTACTTTATGTTTTTGAAGTGGGGGTGGTGGATGACCTAAAGACCTAAAGACTTTTAATTCTATATTAATAATGTTTTGAAGTCTGTAAATAATTTTGTAGGTTATTATGTTTTATGAAGCTCTTTCAGATACAAACCTTGCAAAAGTCTTAAATTCTTGAGATGTGGATTTTTAAATTTTTGTTTTGTAGACAAAGAATCTTGGGCATAAAAAAGTTTAATAACTGTGGGTACCAGCACTTGAATATGTTGCTTGGGTTCTAGGCGCACAGTGCTCTTTCCATTAAATCACAGCTGCTAAAGTAAAATGGCCACGGAGCAAATACTGCAATAGTTAACTGTCAGTACATCTTTTCCAATGCGATGCTTAATTCCAAACTCACCATTTGTGAAAATTGTGTATAGCAGTAGTATTATGTATACCTTTACCTACAAGATTGTTCTTTTAAATGGAAAGTCAGTTTATATTTATATTTAGCTATATACATGTTTATATAGATATACCTGTAATGAAATCTACAGCTAGTACATTTAACTATATTTGTTTAAAAAAAATCTCAGTTGTGCATAATTTTTCTTGACACATTTAAAATATTGGCTATTATGTTAATAATCATAAATTTTTATATGCAATGGGAAGCAGTTTATTGATCCTGTAAGAGCTGGTTAATCTTCTTAGGCAAATTGGCTATACTGAGTTATTTAATTGTTTTATCACTTCCCTCAAAGTAAGGAAAATGAGTTGAAAGTAAAATCTGGCATTTGTTCCTTATTGGAGGCTTTTATGAAGGTGTTATGGACAACTGTTTAATTCATTCATGCTATCTCTTGCTCTTATATTAGCAGAGAAACTAGTTGTGGCCTTGCTGTATCTGTGTAGCCATATTTCCTGACTTTCTTACTCATTTTGCCCTTACAGCTGTTTGCTGTCTTAGAATATTTTGTTATTTTCACATTTCCCTGCATTTGCCTGAGTTATCGTATCTTTCTGCTAACATGTCTTTCTGTCTTTACTTGTTTTTGAACACAACACATCTTCCATAACTTGGCAAAACCTTCTCTGATCCTTTATTGGGCCCCCAGCAGGACCTAATGCTCTCAGGTGCAGTCCTGGGTTGTATTATGATATATGTTGCTGGGTTGTATTATGATATATGTTGTTCATTACTTTTACATCACACTGATTTTAGTTAGAGGTATTTTTCACTCTACTACTTTTCCCTTGGCATAAGTCCTTCTTTGCTCCTCATTGCCAGTTCCAGGTATTCTTTCTTGGGCTAGTCCCCCAGCTTTGAATTTCATGTTACCAGACTAACTCCCCATATCTCATGATAATCATGTATTGACCTATGGGTGGTTCCATCACATTTTTTATGGTGCGCCTTCATTCAGTATTGTCCCATTATAGGTTTGAACTTGGGGCTTTGAACTTGCAAAGCAGGTGCTCTACAACTTGCCACACCTCCAGTCTCCATTTTGATTTTTGGTGATTTTAATATCTAAATAGATTATTGTCCCCACATGCTGACCCATTAGTTCCTTGATCATCTACAATTACCTTGTTTCTGTTCTCTTTCATTCCTGTAACTGCATTCTTGACCTTATCACTACTATTATCTGAAATACCCTCCATAATCTTTATTTGAAGCTCTTATCTCTCTCTTCTCTTGTCTATATCGTTTTGTCTAGTAGTTTGACTTCGACGGTCCTTCCATTATACAAATCCATTGACTCCCGCCTCCCTTACTTTTAAAAAGCTCGTTGTTCAGTTTAAACTCTGTATGATTTGTTTGTATGCACCCTCAGCTCTCTTACCTTTCTTGGTTATAGATAATTGCTTGGCAAAATCCCAACCCCAAATATGAACTCCTCTTTCTCTTCTGAATTATGGAAGAATTGCCTGTAGAGGCCAATCTTTCTATTTATATGCTAGGTCACAACTCCATGCACCATTCCTCCAGCTTCCCTTCCCTTGTGCCTTTGTCCTTCCCACCACTTTGCTTCTCTGTCAGCAGTTTCCCTTTCCAGTGGATCATTCCCATGAACATACAGACATTTTATTAACTTCCATATCTTAAAAAATCTGGCCGCACTTCCTCCAGTTGAAAACTTCATTTCTCCTCTCCTTTATAACAAAACTCCTTAAAAGAGTTGTCTGTGCTAGCTGTTTGCCATTGCCCTCTAGTCAGGATTTTGTTCCCACTACTCGTACCATTCAGAACGGGTCTAATGAAGGTCACAGCAGCTTCATTGTTAAACATCACAGGTGTCAGTACTATTTGTTACTTGATCTGTTGGCTGTGTTTGATAGAGGCAAAATGTATTCAACTCCTTTTTTTTTCTTTTCTTTTATTATTCATATGTGCATACAAGGCTTGGTTCACCGCCCCCTCCCTCTCCCCCCCCCCAATACCCAGCAGAAACTATTTTGCCCTTATTTCTAATTTTGTTGTAGAGAGAGTATAAGCAATAATAGGAAGGAACAAGGGTTTTTGCTGGTTGAGATAAGGATAGCTATACAGGGCATTGACTCACATTGATTTCCTGTGCGTGGAATTAACCTTCTAGGTTAATTCTTTTTGATCTAACCTTTTCTCTAGTTCCTGTTCCCCTTTTCCTATTGGCCTCAGTTGCTTTAAGGTATCTGCTTTAGTTTCTCTGCGTTAAGGGCAACAAATGCTAGCTAGTTTTTTAGGTGTCTTACCTATCCTCACCCCTTCCTTGTGTGTTTTCGCTTTTATCATGTGCTCAAAGTCCTCATTGGCCACATTTTTAATGTTTCCCTTGATTTTTTTCCCCCTAATCTCCCAGACATTTTTTTCCTCATCTTCAAGGTTTCAGACTTTGGACCTTTTCTCATTCTTTGACTTTATTTCCTTAGTGATCTCATACAGTCTCATAGCTTTAAATAATATCCACATGCTGTCAACATCCAAATTTGTCTCTAGCTCAGAGCCCCCTGTACTCTAGAACTGTATATATAATTTGTCTATTAATCATCTATGCTTGAATGTCTAGTAGATCTCTCAAACTCATACATCTAAGACTGGATTCCTGATCTCTGTCATATGCCTTTCCTTTATATTTCTCAGTAGCACTTAACTATTTTTTTGTTTCGTTTCCCCCTCCTCCCCAATTATAATTTCAACTCTGTGAGGGCAGGACTTTATTTTTATTTGCTTACTGATGTATTCTCAGGGCCTGGAATGGTGCACAGAGGAGGCACTCAACAAGTACTTGTTGAATGAATAAATGAAGTACTTGTTGAATGAATGAATGAATAAATAAATGAAAAATTGAGTTAACTCTTTGTGAAGGTATCAGTGAGTGAGCTTTTCTGAAAAACACAAAGAAAAAGGGCCTTTTTTTTTGCTGTAAATTTGAAAGGAGGGTGCAAATACTAAAATAATGCCTAGGAAAACAGAGTGAAATTTCTTCATTAAAGAGATTTTAAAAATCCCTTTAACAAATGGACTAGGGGTTTAGTTCAGTGGCAGAGCGCTTGACTAGCTTTTGTAAGACTCTGGTTCCATCCCCAGCACCGCAGCAGAAAGAAAACAAGAATACACTGGACAAGGAAAATTTTTATTTGAAACAACTCTGCTTTTCAAAGTCTTTTTCCCCCCCATTGTTCTAAGTCTATTAATGAAAGATGGGTTTAAGAAGGAAAAGTATTAGATAATTTTATAGTTGGTCTTTTTGTAGTTTCAAAATATGCATTTTTTTGACGTAGTATGTGTCATTAATCACTTTATTTGGGGATGCCACTTTAGTTATTCTGCTTTAGTAATACTTTGGGTACATCAAACTATTGGTTGGTTTGTTTATTGTTTAGATTTTTGAAATCCAGTCTTGCAATGTGGCCTGAAACTCATAATTCTCGTGTCTTAGTCTCATGAGTTTTGAGTTTACATGAGTGCCCCACCATGCTGGGCTAATGAAGTTATTGTTATTATTGATTAAGTATTTTAAGACTTTGTGATTGCTATTTTGGCAGTGGGATTTTTGTTATTTTAAAATAATTCTTTTAAAGTTTTTTTACATTGCTCTGTAGGTTAAAAGTGAAAACACTGTGAAGTGGAAAGAATAATTTTTGTGTGCTCACGTCCAAAGAGAAATCTGTAAAATAGGACATGTTAGAAGAATTTGGCATGTTCATTAAAAGAATAAATCAATAATTTTCCTTTGAAATAACTAGTCATTGTTTCATGTTTGCCTTTAAGATCTTGGCCTAACTCTCAAGTTACAGTCCAGAGAATGAGTGTTCTCTAAGCATTCATTGAATGACTCCAATTCTCAGAGCTCCATAAACTCAGCATTTCATCTGAGGAGCACTGTATCGCTGAAGCAAGTTTAGTTTAGCAAGAGTAGAAACAGTGTGGTCAGGTTCTTCCTGACCTTGGTATTTTAGCTAGGCTAATTATAATTAGGTCTGTGCCTCCTGAAGCTTATAAATATTAGGTTTTACTTTTGAACATTGTTGGTGTTACTCTAGGAGGAAAGAGCTCAATTACTCTGGTAGTGAATCCTCCCTGCCCCCATGTTTGGTAAATGAAGGCCAGGCTACCAGGGAAGATTCTGGAGGAAAGGAGAATTCTGATTTGCCTCTGATTCTTTAGGAATCCATTGAAATTTTAATGTCTTCAGAGTGCTATAGAATACTCTTCTCACCATCTTGAAATTTTTTTTTTTTTTTGGTGGTATTGGGGTTTGAACTCGGCCTTGGGCTTGCTAGGCAGGTATTCTACCACTGAGCTACATCCCAGGCCCTTCTCATCATCTTGAGGGGAAGTAATGACTTGTGTAGTTCAAGTGGTAGAGCACCTGCCTCGGCCCTTTTTTACTCCGGTTATTTTAGAGATAGGGTCTGTCCTGGACCATGATCCTCCTAGTTTATGTTTCCTGCCATAGCTGGGTGACAGGTTGCACCACCATGCTCAGTGTTTTTCCCCCATTGAGATGGGGTCTCACAAATGTTTTTGCTCTGGCTGACCTGGAACTACAATCCTCCTGATCTCAGCTTCCCAAGTAGCTGCAGTTTCAACTTGAATCACTGTCAACCAGTACAGATACAAAATTCTTGATTGATAATTTTTCCTTTCAGCTTTTTAAATATATTGTCCCCCTGGTTTCTAGCTTCTGTGGTTTCTGATGAGAAATTTGCCATCAGTCTTATAGAGGATCTCATACATCTAGTGAATTGCTTCTCCCTTTCTCTCTTTTTATTTGTCTCTCTTTTTTGCAATTAATAAATTCTTTTATGTTTATACTGGAAAGTAAAAAGAAGTAACTGATTGTCTCCATATTTTGTAACCTGAATTTTACAGGTAAAAAATAGGTTTTGGGCCCATATGAAGATATGGTATGGGTGGAATATGGAGTATGTAAGGGGAAAGGTGTGTGTGAAGTGAGAATGTACAGGAAGAACTTTTTTGCCTTGCTAAAATCGTAACAGTTGTAGGTTTTTAACCTGATGATGGTTAGGGTGATGCAATTGGGTTTGAATTTTAGAAAATTTTAGCAGCAATCATTTGGGAGATTATTATGTCCATGCTGCTGCTGATACAAATTTGGGTCTGTAATGTCATTTACAGAAAGAGGAGGAAGACTGAGAAATATTTATGAGGTTAAAATGAACAGAATTTGCTGACTGATTAAATGTTCATTGTGGGGATTAAGTTTCTTGGTGATTAATATTTAATAGGATTGCCTGAGTGATTAACTACATTTTCCTAACTATGACATTTAAGGCATTAGATTTTATAAAAGTGTTACTGTGGTGGGAACTTTTTGCTTTTCTTACAGCTTCTCTTTGTACTTCTTTGTACTTTACTATTCTTCTGAGGACTATTTGAGTGACACTAGCATTGTGATTCTATTTAAGGAAGAGATTTGTTCTTGATTTATTCTACTTAAAATGTATACTTAGACCTGCTGTTAATCCTTTGTATGGGATTGAACAATTTGGTATAGTCTCTTAAAATTGCTTCACTAGGTAGAATGTGATTTTTATTGTAAATAACCTGTAAGGTCACTTCTAAGATTTTGATTCCGTGGTATGTTGTTTTTCTCTCAGACTGTCCACTTTATTTCCTGAAAAAAAATGTTCATGTTTTCTTTGCTTATGTTTTTCTAAGATGTTCTCAGTGCAGCTGAGTCTTGGTGAGCAGTCATGGGAATCCGAAGGCAGCAGCATAAAGAAGGCCCAACAAGCTGTTGCTAATAAAGCTTTGACTGAGTCTACGCTTCCTAAACCTGTTCAGAAGCCACCCAAAAGCAATGTTAATAATAATCCAGGTATGGCGTTGACTTGTTTCCTTCTGTTATAGTGTGAGCTGGGTGAGATTCTCTCTGCATGTTCACTGCATAGTCACACAGTCATGCGTGTGATTAGTGCACCACACACACACACAAGGCAGTTGAATAGCTTGAGGGGAAGGAATAAGCCAAGTAAATTTTTTTTAAAGTTTGCTCTAGTGGATTTATAAAGGAGCATTATTTACTTTTGAACTGTTGGAAAAAGTACATATTGATACAAAGAACAGAAAATGTGAATTTTTCTTCTAAAGTAAATACAGAAATGATCAGTGTCTCTTTTTAAGTAGATAGTGCACAGTTTTAATAGTTATTTTTTATTTTAGTTTAATACAAAATTATAAAATTTTTCCCTAGATATCTTATTAAATACTTTGCTCATTAGTGTAAAATTTTAGATACTCAATTTAGAACATTTATATGAAGTTTATTAAGTATTAAGAAACTCACCAAGCTAAAGGCATGGCTCAATCAGTAAAGTGCCTGAGTTCAAACCCTTATACCATCAAAAAACAAAAACAAAAAACTCATCAATCTACAAAATGTTTAAGTAAATGATTATGCTAATTTTAAGCTCCTAAGAATTGTAAAAAATTGTGTTGATTGCATACAGTACCAACAGCATTTTATGTCCAGTTATCTTTTGGGAAAGACAAACCTACATTATTGCTAACATCATGTTAATAAAGTTCCTTTAAGTTCAGGACCAGTCATATATCTATTAATTCATTTTGTTAACTTATGAATAAGTTGCCTTCTTATTAATATTAGTATGACATTAGGCATTTCTGTAATGGAATTAAAAAAAACTTTGTGCCTGCTAGTAGTGATTCCATAATCTGTTTTATTGTAGTCCCCATGTTTGTACTTATACTCCAGTCATATAGATACTTGCTTCTTTCTTATGTGGCCAGTGCTTGGTAGACACAGTCTGTTCTTTCAAGGACTCTCTATCCAGGGCTCTATAGTTTTTCTGTTCAACTAATTGCAGTATTCATCAAGCAAATTTAAATAAGCTAAAATATTATTACAATAAAGAAGAAACTTGAAGGAGGGATAAAGGAGAATGATGGCAGGGTAAATTCAACTATTATGTATTTGATATATTGTAAGAACTTCAGTAAATGCCACAAGGAACTCCCACCCAGCACAACAATAAAAACAAAAAATCCTAAAATGAAAAAACCCAATCTGTTTAGTTTGAAGCTGATAAGAGATGGTTTGTTGTAATTTTCTCATTTTGAGGCCTGGTCTCACTGTATAGCCTAGACTGGCCTTGAACTCATGATTCTCTTACCTCACCTTCCCACGTGCTGGGATTACATGTGAGCACCACAAACCTTGCCACTTTTGTAATTTTTTACAAACTTCTTCATGTCACTGGTTGATCATTAGTACCATACTGCCACCACTTGGTTTTTGTATCTGTGAGGTACACATTGTTCTTTTCTGTGAGAATCTTATAGTGTCATCCATACACATGTAATTTGGTGGTGAACATTAGTACCAGGTGAATAGTAACAGATGTCAATATTATAGGTGATAATAAACATGAACTGAAGTAAGATAGGGGCCTTGAATGAATAGTAGCCAGGTATAGAAGAGAATAAAATATTCTAGACTGAGGGAATACTGTGAGCAGGAAAGGTATTGGAACAGGAATCTGGACAATGGGTTTTGTAAAATAGTTGTTTTTGTAGGTCATTTTTACTTACAGCAGGCAAGTGGCTAGTGGGAAACAAGATGAGATGTGGATAGGGAGTGGATTGTAATGGCCTCACACCAGCTTTATTTATAAGATTCTTTTTTTTGGTGGTACTGGGATTTGAACTCAGGGCTGTCACAGTAGGCAGGTCTTCTTCTGCTTGAGTTATGCCTTTACAGCCCACAGGATTGACTTTTTTTCTGTAGTTTGGGGCAATTAATATTTATGAGCAAATGGACAATGACCTTAAAAGAGCATTTTAGGATGTCTAGTTTGACACATGTATGGAAGGTGGAAGATACTTAAAAACATGATGATTGACTAGGAAATCATTGCCATCGTTTATGGTGAAGAAAGAAAAAAGAAATTCATGTGAATAGAGAACTATATGCTTCCCATTCTGCCAGAGTTTTGGGAGTGGTGTTTGGAGCAGAACAGAGCATGCTCTCCAAGGGATATAATGTACAACAGCAGCAATTGTGGACTGAGTTCTGGGTCAAGTCTACATGTACAGGATTATAGCAGAAAATAACCCAGCAAGAGTAAGAGCAAAAAAGCAGGAGTGTAATATGATGTATTGGGAAGTGCACACATTACAGTTGTAGAACTTGATGAGGTTTTTCACCAGGAACACTGCTGCACTCTTCACTAGTGCTTCAGAAGCCTCCTTCAAGCTTCTTTCAGTTGAACAACTCCAAAGGAAACCCTTCTTCTGATTTCTTTTTTTAATGGGTTTTATTGTGACATTTTCATACATGCATATAATGTACTTTAATCATATTAACCTCTTTTTATGCTTTCTTGTCACCTCTCTACTGTTCTGATTTCTGTCACATTAGTTGTGCTTACTTGTTGGAATCATACATTATACTCTTTAGTGATAGCTTATTTTTCATGTTTTTGTTTGTGAGTCTTATCTGCATTATGTTTAAAAGTATTGTATTTCATTATTATGTAATATTCTTTTGCATGAAAATGCTGTAAGTCACTTATAGTAAATTCCACTTCTTTCTTTATGCTCTTGGTAGATATTTAGATTATTTCCAGTTTGGGGGAGCTGTTCACAATAATACCTCTGTGAACATTCTTGTCCATATACATTTTTGTTGGGAATGTATTTAGGATGGGAAGTGTTAGTCATAGGTTATGCATGTGTTCAGTATTTATACATACTGTCAAACACTATCAGTTTACTTCCCACTAGCAATATATGAGAGCTTGCTACATTCTTGTTAATATTTGATATTGTCAGCTTTCAAAATTTTAGCTATTATGCTGGGGGTTTAATAGTAATTCATTATGGTCTTAATTTTCATTTTTCTAATAACTCATGAAGGTGGCCGATGAAACATTTTGTGCTTGTTGAAGGTCATATGCTTGTTGACATTAAGGTAGCCTCTGTTGGAAAGTGCTAGTTGGAATTTTTTCCCAATTAGATATATGTATTGCAGTTATCTTTCTGTATTCCTAATAGTGCATTTTGATGAGTAGACATTTTTTACTTCAATGAAGACTAATTCATTGTCTTTTATTTATGGTTAATGCTTTTTTTGTATACTATTTAATATATTTTATCTCTTACAAGGTTATGAAGATAACCTTGCATTATTTTTAGAAGCTTTATTATTTTGTCTTTTTAATTGAGATCCACAGTCTGTTAGGAATTAAATTTTATTATGATTTTGGATAGAGTTTGAGATTTTTGTTCTTCTTTATAGTATATGTTCATTTAACCCAGTAATGTTTATTGAAGACATTCACCTCTGCACTTTAGAGCCACCTTTATTGTAAACCAGGTGACTGTAACTCAGCATGGAGGAGTCTTTGGAGCAAGAGAGATCCAGTCCTGACAGCAGTGACTAGATGAGTCTTACTTGTAGTCCAGAGAGGAGTTAAATTCATTCACAGCGTGGCTGACCTGCCAGTTAATTAGGATTATATTATAGAACTATTTTACTTTCTCATTCCTTTTATTTTTAACCTTGAAAATAATTTCATATTTATATAAAATTTGTAGAGATAGTACATAGAGCTCCAAAGTACTGTTCACTCCATTGTTAAATTTCTGAACCATTTGAGAATTAGTTTCATGACCCTTTAGTACTTCAGTGTGTATTTTCTAAGTGTACTGACAGTCTCCCATCATGAAGTTAACTTGATTGAAATTAGCATTTACTCCACAGACTCCACTAAAATTTTACTGATTGTCCCAGTAATGTCCTTTACAGATCTAGGATCTAATCAAGATCACATGATTAATGTACTTAGTGTTTTTCTTCATTCTACTTTAGTAGGGAACAATTCCTAAGTCTTTCTGATTTTTCATGACCTTGACATTTGTGATGAGTATGGAAACCATGATTGATAAGACTGTTTCTCAGTTGAGTTTCCTCATGATTTCTGCATTTTTAGCATGAGTGCCACAGAAGTGATCTGGGCTCACCTTAGTGGTTCCCACTGGCAGGCACTCAGTATTGAGTGCCATTAGTGATGACTTTTGCTGTGTAATGAAGAGTCTGCCTGCTAGGCTTCTCTGCTATAAAGTTAGTTGATAAGTGTTTTTTGCTAAGAAGTAGTAAGCAAGTAAGTGTTGCCCTGAGATGATGTTTTGAGACTGGATGTATATATGTATAATTATTCTGTTTCTCATCAAATTTTCTTTCACCTACTAGATTTAGCATCCATTGATAATTCTTGTCTGAATCAGTTATGATCCTGAAGGTTGCCAAACAGTGACTTTAAAAAAATTCCAATATTCTTTTTAGATATATTAGTTGCCATCGGACCCATGAGAAGTTTCTCTTTTCTCTCATTAAAAAAAAAAATTTATATCACTGTAGACTCCTGGATTCCTTACATATTTATAGTCTTAATTTATTTTTTGTGCTGGCAATCAAACCTAGAGCCTCATGCATGCTAAGCGTGTTCTTGCTGTACTGTTTGAGCTATACCCAACCCCTGAAGTTCCCATTTCCCCCCACTGACAACTACATGGGTCTTGCTGTGTTGTCCAGACAGGCACAAACTCCTAGGCTCAAGTGATCTCCTCTCAGCCTCTAGAATAGGTAGGACTACAGCTGTACTCTAATGTATCTGGATTATTATTACTTATTTTGATGGCTAAAATTCTCTCAGGTTTCACCATTGGGATGGCTCCTCTGAGCTGTCTTCTGTGTCCTGATATTTCTTCCATCATTCTTTGGGCACTTCTTTCTTTCTGGCATAATAAGGTATTCCTTGGTCATCTTGTATTTTCCTTGTCTCAGTCATATAGCTA